CCAGCAGGAGGAAGGAGGTCCTGATCCCTCTATATAGATCTTTATTATCACTAGAGGGACCCCCAGCAGGAGGAAGGAGGTCCTGATCCCTCTATATAGATCTTTATTATCACTAGAGGGGTCTCCAGTAGGAGGAAGGAGGTCCTGATCCCTCTATATAGATCTTTATTATCACTAGAGGGGTCCCCAGCAGGAGGAAGGAGGTCCTGATCCCTCTATATAGATCTTTATTATCACTAGAGGGACCCCCAGCAGGAGGAAGGAGGTCCTGATCCCTCTATATAGATCTTTATTATCACTAGAGGGATCTCCAGCAGGAGGAAGGAGGTCCTGATCCCTCTATATAGATCTATCACTAGAGGGGTCCCCAGCAGGAGGAAGGAGGTCCTGATCCCTCTATATAGATCTATCACTAGAGGGGTCCCCAGCAGGAGGAAGGAGGTCCGGATCCCTTTATCACGTTCCTATGTTTGCCGCCAGGTGGGAATACTAACCCGGTGACAGAACCATGACGGGGGTAATGATGTCCTAGATCGCAGCGCAGGCACCTCCATTGCGTGAGCAGGACAGGTCCACTTGGTGTGAGGAGCTCGATGTGGGGGCTCTTTGTCACATCCTCGGGCCGCTCTGCATAAGAACCCCAATTCATTCCATTCATGGGCCCTCCATAGAAAGACGCGGCTCCGGCCTGAATGAGGAGGTGAAGAATGGCCACACGTGAGGAGAATATCAGCTGCTGGAGATGAATGGGGCCCTCAGGCTCCTATTAGACTCACAATGGGCCCTCCAACAAGTGATCCATCAAATTATGATGGATCTGTTAGGCTCAGAGGGATTTTCACACAGAACGATGAGGACAACTAAGGAGCCGATGACAGTGACAGCTTAAAGGGTTAGTCCACCCAATATTTCAGTCACAGGTTGGTTCTAGAAAAACGGATTCTACTTCTTTCTAAGACTTCCAGTAAATCGCAATTATCGGTTTGTCAAACCTTATGGGCTGCCCAAAGCAGTGCCTCAAAATACCAAAACACACTCTTTAAAGAGACCCTGTCACCAGCCTAAAAAACTGAAGGTAAAGCAAGTCTTATTGCCGTCTTATCTACCGTCCTGGCAAGGCTTGGGCATTAATTCCCCATAGAAGCCTGTGGAGCTGTGTGTCCAGGCTGGAGAACATATCATAGAGGTGTGAAACCAGTGCTGCTCCTCTTTCACCCGCCATGGCCCCCGATTCCTCCCCCAGGACATATCACCGCACACCAGAAACAGGGACAGATTCCTTCACCAAAAGGACAGCCTCCCCCAAGACTGACCCATGGATATCAGCACCAATGGGATGGGATAAGACAGTTAGCTGATGGATGTTCCTCTGGTCAACTTGCATTGTGTGCAGCATTGTTTCCATGTATGCAGTATTCTGGGAGGGAGAACCTGTTGATTTTTCCATACATTTTTTGTTTTTGTTTGGCTAATTCACTTAATCAACATGAAAAAAACTTGTGTGGCAGTATTGCAGAAAATAGAGATTATATTAAAATATTACAACTTAATAAAATCATTACTGGGGCCGTCATGGCATTTTAAGCTTCCAACTGATAGTGACACAGTCTGGTTAGAAAAAGATTCCATCCAGTTCAACCAAAAGATAAGAATTATATAAATAGATACAAAGTAACATTGTTTAAAAACATTGATCAGAGGGG